CTCTTTGTATATATCTGTGGCTGTTTCTTCTTTTTGTTTAAAAAAAAAATTTTTTTTTAATGTTATTTGTCTTTGAGAGAGAGAGTGTGAGCAGGGGAGGGGCAGAGAGAGAGAGACAGACAGGGAGACAGAATACGAAGCAGGCTCCAGGCTCCAAGCTGTCAGCACAGAGCCCCTAATGCAGGGCTCAAACCCAAATACTGCGAGATCATGACCTGAGCGGAAGTCTGACACTTAACCTAACTGACTGAGCAACCTAGGCACCACCGTTTCTTTTTTTTTGAAGATAAATTAGAAAACAGTAAAAAAATTATTTTTTTCTCTAACCAAAAATCTGAGTGTTAAACATTTTTTTTCTTGTGGATTGAGTTAGCATTATAATTATTAGTAGTGTACCACTGAGTAAAACAACACAAACATTTTATAAATGTTGGTAATTATCAAACATAAAAAGTAACATTTTTTAATTTAGTGAAGATTTTAATAAAGTAAGATTTTTTAATTAAACACATAGGACTTTTTTTGGACTCCCTTGTTGGAATGAGACAGAATTTAACATCAAGTGTTCATATCTATTTACTTTTATTTTTTTCTTATTTTTTATTTTTAAGGATGTAAGTGTTGATTAACATGAATAAATAAGTCAGAGAGAATGTGAGGAGTTCTAGTACAGCAGTGTCCCTCAATTCTTTGAACTACTTCCAAATTATATGCCAAAATACAGTGACCTAATCAGAAATTATTTCTAATAATCCGTCAACTGACAATTCAGGCTCTCCTTCAATTTTTTTTTAAGTTTATGTATTCATTTATTTTGAGAGTGTGTGCACATAAGCCAGGGAGGTAACAGAGAGAAAGAAAGAGAGAATCCCAAGTAGGTCCCACACTTGCCAGCACAGAGCCCAAATCAGGGCTTAATCTCACAAACTGAGAGATCATGACCTGAGCCAGGATCAAGAGTTGGAAGCTTAACTGACTGAGCCATCCAGGCACCCCCCTGGAATGCTAACCTAAGGGGTTCTGAGACTGTTTTGATTTTTCTGGACATTGTATTATTCACCCACATCAAACTGTCTTTCATAAAACCCTCAAGGCCTTTCTTTATGTACACACAGATAATTTTTGTTGTATTTTTCTGTGCTGTTGAACAATTTGGCTATTGGTTGCTTTTGCTACTCAGTATTAAAGCTTTTGTTATTGGTGCTTGGAGCACTTCCAAAATAGGTTTATTGCTCATGTACTGTGTTTTGTCACAGAGTGATTTGCCCCGGATCAAAACGGAGATTGAGGCCTTGAAGAACTTGAGACATCAGCATATATGTCAACTCTACCATGTGCTGGAGACAGCCAACAAAATATTCATGGTTCTTGAGGTTAGTAGTATGGTCTAGAGACTGAAAGGTATTTGGTTTCTGTCTTAGTCCACTTGGGCTGCTATAACAAATATCACAGACTGAGTAGTTTATGAACAACAGAAATTTATTTCTCATAGTTCTGAAAGCTGGGAATTACAAAATTAAGGGGCTGGCATGGTCAGGTGAGGGCCTTCTTCCTGATCCATAGCTGGCACCTTCTTGCTATGTCCTTAACGGTAAGAGGGACCAAGGAATCTCTCTGGAACCTCGTTTATAAGAGTCCACTTATACACAGATTTTTTTCAGTATGGTATTGTAAATGTATTTTGTCTTCCTTATGTGTTTCTTTTTTCCAGCTTGCTTTATTATAAGAATATAGTGTATAATACATGTAACATATAAAATATGTATTAATTGACTGTTTATGTTATTGGTAAGGCTTCCTGTCAACAGTAGGCTTTTAATAGTTAAATTTCAGGGAGTCAAAAGTTATGTGCATATATAAAAAATTTAAAAATAGAACTACCATATGATCCAGTAATTCCACTATTGGGTACTTACCGTAAGAATATGAAAACACTAATTCAAAAAGATATATGCACCCCTATTTTACAGCATTATTTATAGTAGTCAAATTATGGAAGCAGCCCAAGTGTCCATTGATAGACGAATGGATAAAGAATATATGGTATGTGTATGTACACACACATACACCACATGCGCACACACACTGTGGAATATTATTCTGCCATAAAAAATGAAATCTTGTCATTTGCTACAACCTGGATGGATCTAAAGAGTATAATGCTAAGTGAAATAAGTCAGAGAAAGACAAATACCATATGATTTCACTCATGTGGAATTTAAGAAATGAACAAAAAAGAGACAAACCAAAAAACACTTTTTAAAAAGATTTATTTATTTTGAGAGAAGGAAAGAACAAGCGAAGGAGGGGCAGAGAGAGAGAGGGAGAGAGAGAGAATCCCAAGCAGGCTCTGCACTGTCAGCATGGAGCTTGATGCAGGGCTTGAACTCACAAACTGTGAGATCATGGCCTGAGCTGAAGAGTCAGACACTTAACTGACTGAACCACCCAGGTGCCCCTCTTAACTACAGAGAAAAACTGATGGTTACCAGATGGGAGGTGGGGGGTGGGGGGGGGGGTTGGGTGAAACAGGTGAAAGAGATTAAGAGTACTCTATCCTGATGAGTACTGAGTAATGTTTGGAATTGTTGAATCACTACATCCTACATCTGAAACTAATGTAACATATATGTTAACTATACTGGAATTAAAATTAAAAAAAAAGTTACATGCAGATTTTTGACTGTGAGAATGGTCAGCACCGCCAACCCCTGTGTTGTTCAAAGGTCAACTGTACTTACATACAAATCCCTACATGTATTTTAGGTGTGTGTGAATACATACATCTGTGTGTTTTCATATATATATAAATATATATACACACATAGGTGGCTTATTAGTTTCTGTCACACAAGTGGTTGCCTACTATAATATTCTGTACCTTGTTTTTTTTTTTTTTATGCACTTAACATTTTAGCTTGGAGACCATCTGTGTATATTTGTAGAGGTTTTTAATGTTTTTGTTTCACTTCATTTTGCATTTCTTTCTTTGTGTATATAAAGTAGGCTGTTTATATAAATCTTATTGGATAGCATTTAAAAAATTGAGGTATAATTTTTATATGCTAAAATGCACACATTAGGTATACAGTTTGAAAAAGGTAGACATCTATGTACTTCCCACCCCAGCCTAGGGATAAAACGTATCCGTTATGCCCGAAAGTTTTCTCCTGACCCTTTGAAGTTAATCCCTATAACCCTACCTGCCCACTGTACTTCTCAGTGACCAATGATTTGATTTTGGTCACCATAGGTTAGTGTTACCTGTTGTAGAACTTGATATAAATAGAATCATACAGTCTGTACTCTTTTGTGTTTGGTTTCTTTTGTTCAGCATAATGCTTTTTGCAAGTCACTGTATCAATATATACTCTTTTATATCTTGCTTTTTCACTTAATACTGGAGATTGTTTCATATCAGTTTGTAAAGAGCTCCCTTTTTTTTATGGCTGCATAGAATTCCATTTTATAATGGAATTTAAATAGTGTGAACATATTTGGGTTGTTTCCAGGCTTTGTTACAAAACAATACTGCTGCAGTGGATAATCTTGAAAGTGTATCCTTTTTTAAAGATTTATTTTGTTTTTAGAGGGCGGGAGCAGAGGAGAGGGGTATGGGGGAGAGAGAGAGACAGAGAGAGAGACAGAGAGAGAGAGAGAGAAAGAAAGAATCCCAGGCAGGCTCCACACTCAGCATGGAGCTTGACACAGGACTTGATCCCATGACCCTGGGATCATGACCAGAGTTGAAATCAAGAGTCTGACGCTCAACCGACTTAGCCACCCAGGCACTCCCAAAGAGTATTGCTTTTGATGTTAGAGTATATCTGTAGGAACATTTTCTAAATGTGGAACTATGAGGTCAAAAGCTATAGATATCTGTGATTTTAATTGGTACTGCTAAGGTGAAATGAAATCTTGAAGGGAAACCCCAGTTTACAGAAAGGTAGAGTTGCTCTGGAGAAGGGATGGAAAGCTTAGAACTTTATATTCTGGTACCTCTTCTCCTATAGCTTCTTATGAACCTCTGTAGAACTGGGCTCCTTCTGGTACAGACTAAAAATCTCTGGTCTTCAGGATGGAAAAGCAATAATTGCTTCTGGGGTGCACCTGGCTGGCTCAGGTGGTAGAGCATGTGACTCTTAACCTTGGGGTTGTGAGTTTGAGGCCTACATTGGGTATAGAGATTACTTAAAAATAAAATCTTTAAAAAAATCTTTAAAAAATTGTGCTTTTTTTAAAATTGTTTTTGTTTTAGGGAACTACAATAAATATGAGTGCATTAAGATGAGAATGGGTTTTAATATTTTGCTATAAAAATATAAAACCCTGAGTGAACTTAAAAATCACAGTGTCAGGGGGTGCCTGGGTGTCTCAGTCTCTTAAGCATCTGACTTTAGTTCAGGTCATGATCTCACAGTTCATGAGTTTGAGCCCCATTTTGGGCTCTGCGCTGCCAGTGCAGAGCCCACTTGGGATCCTCTGTCGTCTCTCTGCCCCTCCCCTGCCTGCGTGTGCACGTGCTGTCTCTCTTTCAAAAATAAAATAAACATTAAAAAAAAAATCACAGTGTTAGTTGGTTCTACTTCTACTTACTGGTCATAAAACTGCTTGAGACCAAGAGCTGTTGTTCTGTGTCCTGGAGTAATTGTTGACCTGTTTGATCGTGACAGTGTATTTTTGACTATTCTTCACTTGGTTCCCTTGCCTATAAGTTGAATTAAAGATATCTCTGAGTTAAGTATAATTTTTTGTTTTAATTCCTCTGAAGTGATTTTTGTCAGTAGTAATCATACCTGCATGCCTCTGTTGTTATTGAAGTATTGCCCCGGAGGAGAGCTGTTTGACTACATAATTTCCCAGGATCGCCTATCCGAGGAGGAGACCCGAGTTGTCTTCCGTCAGATAGTATCTGCAGTTGCTTATGTGCACAGCCAGGGTTATGCTCACAGGGACCTCAAACCGGTAAGTGACTATCACAGATGCTCACCTGAGAGTTCAACATCATTTACCAGTTTTTACTAGTGTTCTACAGGTTCTTTCTGTTTAGGGTCTATCTTGGCTTTGCTTCTTTTTTTGTTCCACTGATAATGTATCACTTTTCTTTCTTTTCTTTTGACTGCGGTAGGCTTTTTTGGATCTACCTAATTGTTGATATTCTGTATGTTTGTCAGTTGTGGGTGACATTATGAATGTCTTTGTAATCAACTGGGGAATATAAACTTCAGGATTTTATCTCTAGGAAAGAAGAGTTTTGAGTATTTTCTTTGAGAATATTGTCATTGAGTATTTTCCCTTTAATACTCTTTTCCTGACCTCATCTTCCTTTAATTTTAATTCCATTACATCTCAGAAAGGAATAGTTCAATGGAATGAACAGTCTCTAATTTTCAAGGACAGAATAAAAATGCAAATACTTTTAAGTCTGCAGGCTCTGACTAATATGGATGGTAGTGAACATGGGTTTTATGTTACTTGGTATTAGGGCCAGGAGTCTAGAATTGGTTGACAAAACATGGCAATGTTACTTTCCTTTTGCCTCTGTTTATACACAGCCCTCTGATTTGAGCTCATTCTTTTGGTTTGGTACACGTTGTGTTTGCTTGTAGTTGAATCTCAGGGTACCACAGAGGGGATGGTTTATGCTGAAGTGTCTCAAGGGGAGGCAGAATAGTTCTCGCCATTCCTCCTCTTTCCCTTTCCTTACTTCTTGTCATTTCATTCTTTTTTAGTGATTTTCATTCTGTTGTTCCCAGGCTGCTTGGTATAAACCATCTTAAATCTTATCTATTGGTTTTGCTGCTGCCTGGACTGCATCACACAGAGCCTCCAGCAGCAGGGCCTGCAGGCAGAGAATGTAACTGTGACAGAGGGCTTTAGAAGAGTGGAAAGTGCTTATTTTATGGAAGCAGAGGTCTGCGTTACATTTACTGAATTTGGAAAAGTGTAAAATATTTGTAACTTTGTTAGTGAAAAGCTAGATAGCTCTGTTGTCATCAGCCAGCTCCATTTGCATCATCCTCCAGCTTCTGTTGAATATCTAAGATGGCAGGCCTGTCTTATTGCCAACGTGTGGTGCAAAGCTCAAGATGTCTGTAACCTTATTGGCCAAACTCCAGGAACACCTTTATTCATCAAAGAAGAAACAATAGGGGCGCCTGGGTGGCTTGGTCGGTTAAGTGTCCGACTTCGGTTCAGGTCATGATCTCACGGTCCGTGAGTTCCGTGAGTTTGAGCCCCGCGTCGGGCTCTGTGCTGACAGCTCAGAGCCTGGAGCCTGTTTTGGATTCTGTGTCTCGCTCTCTCTCTGCTCCTCCCCTGTTCATGCTCTTTCTCTCTCTGTCTCAAAAATAAATAAACGTTAAAAAAAAAAAGAAAGTAACTGCTTTCTAAAAAAAAAGAAGAAGAAACAATAGAATGGGAAGGCCAAATAGATGATCCCCAGTCATCCAGACTCTCAAGTTCATTAACTGTACAACCAAAAATCAAAAGTGCAGCAATATATGCTGCTTCAGAAGTATTCATAACTGTTGAGGTAAAGGGGAAGAGAGGAAAAAAAAATCTATGAAATTCCAACCAAAATATATTGTGTTTGTATCTTTTTATTTTTGTACTTTTTATAATGTTTGCTTTTGTCCTGAATATATATATATTGTATAAAGTATTTCCCCCCCCAAAAGATGTCACTCCTTGAATAAAGTCCCACAGAATACTCAAGTTTACTTTCTATTTTTAAAAACTTACTATGGGAAATACTCCGGAAATAAATGTCTTATATGTGGAAAAAATAAATCTTGTTCATTTAGAAACTGTTTTTAGAAATGGCTAGAGGTAGGATGTGATATAAGGAAGTCAATATACAGTTATGAAAATATCTTTGTTTCCCCAGGAAAATTTGTTGTTTGATGAATATCATAAATTAAAACTGATTGACTTTGGTCTCTGTGCAAAACCCAAGGTAAGTACAGAAATAAAAATGTATTTATTTCCTTTGTAAATATACCTTTTTAGGGTATTATCTTGCAGTGGCTTCCACTTAGCCTTTGTTGAGCGTGGTTGCAACCATTGAGAAGAATGTTAAATTGCATCCCCTTTAGAAGTTCTCTAGATGATTTGAATAGGTAGCCAAGATTGAGAACCACTGCTCTAGGTCCAGGGTTGGCCCTGCTGAAGCCCCCATGGATGTGCTGTGAGAGAATTTGCAGTGCTGAGGTGACATGAGGTCATTACAACATGAATTCTGAATTGATTCTATGTTTGCAGTTTGAGTATGTTGCCACTAGGTGAAGCTTTTGTTCATTTAGATAGGAGTTTTGGGAATTTAGTGCAAATCTATTCTTTGTTATCCAAATGGTTCTATAACTAATGGTTACGTTTTGAGAGGCAATCCTCTTTCCTTATAAAAGAAGAAGGAAAAAGTCCATATGCACTATTAAATGTATATGGGTATATATTTCCTTAATTTGTACCCCACAGTTAAGTACTGGTGTTCTCCAGCGTACCTTCTCTTTGAGGTGACTTTGAACTTTCCAGCTGCGCTGTCTGCAGAGCTCCTGTGTGACTGCCTGTTGGAGGCTTCCTCCTGAGTTCTCTAATGATGGTACTCACAGTCTCTAAAATGAGCTGTCTACACTCATTAGGAATGTTGAAATTGCAGACCTGTCTTAGCCCTTTGTAGTCCCATGATTATTTCCTGCCCCAATCAGAATTAGCTAAATGCAAAGGGAAGCAGATTTTGCCCCTTCAGCTGAATGTCTCATTCTTTCTGATTTTCCTCTCCTTCCCTTGGCTCTTCAGAGATTGTCAGTGGAGCCTTGTGTCTGGGAGCCAAATGCTCTATGGCATTTTTTTGATCGGCAGTCGTATAAAGATAAAACATACTTTGAGCAGATAAACTGGTTTAAGTCATGTTCTCCACAGGAGGCAGTGGAGAAGGTTTGTGACAGACTCCATTAGCTTTTATTTATGGCTGCCACAGATTCGACCCACACAGACACCATCTGAGAAAGCAGCCTTGGCTGGGAGAGGATTGCCTCTGCTTTCTGCTGAGAAGTTCACTTCTGGGCACGTTGTTGCAGTTGTAAATGAAATTTCGCAGTTTCACAAGTCATTTGCCAGTTGTAGGACTACACAAATGTTGGGTAGTCGTATCATGTTCATTATGTCTTGATGTTTCTGTGCGAGAGCAGAGGATGTCGAGCAGATTCTCATTTTCACAGATCTGGAAGTTCAGGTGTTTTTTATTTGTGTTACGACTGGGTCTAGAAAACAGACTCCTAAGGCACTGTTCTATGTAGCAGATTCCTCTCTTCCCTCTAAGGAAAGAGAAACTTTTCTGTATTTGTAAAGATTTGATATTGGAGATAGAGTCCAGGAAAGAAATAGTCCTTTTTGTTGGAGTACTTGGGAGTGGGCAGACATGGGTGCTTGGATGTTTGTTAAGCTGATTATTTTGTGAATGGATGTCTAGGAGAGTATGAACCTGACTTGATTGAGCTAAGGGGAAGAAGATTTTGTTCATGCCAGGTTGTAGTGGTATTGGAAATCCAGAGAAGAGTAAACTACACGTGTTTGCATGCATATAGCATAGTATGGGGTTGGCTGCACAGAGTCTCTCATTCTTTGAGATAATTCTTCATCTAGTTTCTCTCTGCTTGTGCCAAAAGAATGTTTATCAAGGTTTCAATTTCTTCAGGGCCATAATTAAGGAGTATTTCATTTTTTCTTGTTGGCAGGGTAACAAGGATTACCATCTTCAGACATGTTGTGGGAGTCTTGCTTATGCAGCACCTGAATTAATACAAGGCAAATCATACCTGGGATCGGAGGTAATTATTCATTGATTAATTCAGTATGTAATCAATATACATTTATTGGTGACCTGTAGTGAGTCAGACATTGTGCACTGGGGATATTACAATAAGGTAAGAAATAATCTTGTTAATCAAAGAGTTCAGTTTATTCAGAGAGTAAGACTTAAAGTAACACATGAAATGAATAACTTGCAATAAATATAATAATGTATATTATACTTATGAAGCAAAGGTATATTTCTGGTGTCCTTGTTTTGGTTACTTTCATGTTAAAACAATACGTAGTTTAGACTGGTTAGCCCAGCCAGGTAGAGCACAAGGCCAGGGTTGCAGCCTCAGTTTTCAGAGATGCTTCCTGGTTAGCTCTGAGAAAACTTGGACTTTGTTCATAGCCAGATAGTTATCTGAGGCCAGCAGTCCTTTGCAGGAGGCCCAGGCTCAGAAGGCCTGGGCACTGCCTGTTTTACTTACCATTAGTTACTGCGAGCCCGTCAGTCCTTTCCGTTCTGTGGAGTACTAATACTGCTAATATTAGTATTATAGTACAAAGTTGAGTTATCAAAAGCTCAGGAAATGCTGGATTGAATAATTTTTTTAGTTCAGGACATCTCTAGATCTTTAATATGTTCTCATCCAATGTGATCCTCTGGGAGGGGAGCATCATAGATAGCAGCTGGCCTTGATTTTACCTGCCTACAGAGTCCATTTTTTATGTGCTGCATCTTTTGGAACTAGTGTTATGTTGGAGAAACCTTGACATATGCCCATTTACTTAATTGTAACAAGAGAAGATGGGAACTGACTTCTTTTGGTGATTTTTGATGTGGATATAATCTCAAACTTACAGAACAGTTGCAAATATGGAATGAGGAACTTCTGTATACATTTAGTCCTATTCACAGTTGTTGGCATTTTTTTTCATTCTGTTTGCTTTTTCATTCTCTATGTTTGTATATATGCATATTCTTAACCAATTAAGAATAATTTTTAGACATTATTCCCCTTTATCATTAAATACTATGTATATATTTCCTAAAAGCAAGGGCTTTCTCTTTTATACCTACACTATAGTTATCAAAATCGGGGATTTAATATTGATACAACTTATTTAATTCATAATTCATAGTCACGTGCTGTTAATTGTACCACTAGTGTCCTTAGCTATATTTTCCCTCCAGTCCAGGATTCAGTTCAGGATCACGTATTGCTCCTTTGGCCTGCTTTTTCATTTTATTAAAAAAAATTTTTTTTGAATGTTTATTATTTTTGAAGAAGAGAAGGAGACAGAGTGTGAGCAGGGGAGGAACAGAGAGAAAGGGAGACACAAAATCCAAAGCACGCTCCAGGCTCCGAGCTGTCAGCACAGAGCCTGACACGGGGCTCAAACTCACAAACCATGAGATCATGACCTGACATGTCCGACCTGACAAGTTGGACGCTTAGCTGCCTGAGCCACTCAGGCACCCCATCCTTTGGTCTTCTTTAATCTGGAAGAGTTCCTTATCCTTTATCTTACTTGACCTTGACATTTGTGAGGAATCCACTTATTTTGTAGAAAGTATCTCAATTTGAATTTATCTGATGCTTATGATTAGATTTAGCTTATGCCTTTTTGGCAGAAATACCACAGAGGTGATATTGTGGCCTTCTCAGTGCATAATAGGAAAAGGAACAAACTTTTACTGAGCATTTATTATAGTCCTGGAATCATGCTAGATCCTTTTCTTGTTCAGTTGTGGTATAAACACATATTACATAAAATTTACCATCCTAATTTTAACTATCTTAACCATTTTTAAGTGTACAGTTCAATAGTGTTAGGCACATTTAGGGGCACCTGGGTGGCTCAGTCGGTTAAGTGCCTGACTTCGGCTCAGGTCATGATCTCATGGTTGGTGAGTTTGAGTGACACATCAGGCTCTGTGCTGGCAGCTCAGAGCCCAGAATGTGCTTCGGGTTCTGTGTCTTCCTCTCTCTGTCTGCCCCTCCCCTGCTGATGCTCTGTCTCCCTCTCTTTCTCAAAAATAAATAAATAAAAAAAAGAAATAGTGATAGGCACCTTTATATTGTGCAAGCAATCTCCAGAGCTCTTTTCATTTTGCAAAATGCAACTCTATACCCATTAAATAATTATTCTATTCTTCCTTCCTCCCACCACTGGCAGCTACCCTTCTACATTCTGTCTATATGAATTTGACTACTCTAGGTACCTTATATCGTGGAGTCCTACAATATTTGTCTTTTCGTGACTGGCTTATTTCACTTCACACAGTATCCTCAAGACTCATACATGTTGTAGCATGTGTCAGAATTGTTTTCCTTTTTTTTTTTTTTCAAACATTTGTTTATTTTGGGAGAGGACGTGCGTGTGCACAGGGGAGGGGCAGTGAGAGAGGGAGAGAGAGTCTCAAGCAGGTTCCGTGCTGTCAGTGCAGAGGCTGACATGGGGCTTGAACCCACAAACTGTGAGATCATGACCTGTGCCGAAATCAAGAGTCAGATGCTTAACTGGCGGAGCCATCCAGGCGTCCCAATGCTAGATGCTTTTTATAATTTTCATTTAAATGAAATCCAAAAATCCTTTGGAGTGAATACTGTCATTCATTTCATTAAGGTAAGAAGTTGAAGAAACTGAGGCTCAGAAATTAAGTGCCTTCGCAAGGTCACACACCTGGTAAACAAGAGGTCAAGATTTGAACTGAGGGAGGCTTTACTGCATACCTGTACATTCTCTTTCTCTCTCTCTTCTAAATTATATGGTAGTTTTTTTAAATAGGCTCCACACCCAATGTGGTGCTTAAACCCACGACCCTGAGATCAAGAGTCACATGCTCTACCAACTGAGCCAGCCAGGAACCCCAATAATTTTTAATAGAATTTTAAAAGCATTTTTAACCGCTTTTATTTTAATTTTTTAAAAGTTTATTTATTTTGAGAGAGAGAAAGAGAAAGAAGGAGGGGCAGAGAGAGAGAGAGACAGACAGACAGACAGACAGAGAATCCCAAGCAGGCTCCATGCTGTCAGCACAGACTCCCCCTACACTGACTTGATCTCATGGTCTCATGAGATCATGACCTGAGCTGAAACCAAGAGTTGGATGCTTAGCCAGCAGAGCCACCCAGGTGCTCCTTTCCTTATCTTTTTGTTTAACCTCAGATATAACCTCTCTGTTGACCTCTTCTTGTGGCATTTGATGAGGCCATGCTAGCCCAGTATTTCCTGTGCAGCCTCTTTGCTTTGAATTGAACACCCTGGTCAGGGGTGCCATACTATCCAGGCTGAATTTATAGATCAATTATTTGACATCTCTGAGTCGTAAATAGTTAATTTCTGACCTCCTGCAACTGGGAAGAAAAAAATGAGGTGTTTGCCTGAAAGTAGATCATTCACTTGGGGCATCTTAATAATTTGATGTGACTTGGTAGACAGGACTAGGCATTAGATTTGGGTTACTAAGTATAGGTATTACTTAGATGTGATGCCGCTTGAGTTATTTTAACTCTTGTTTCTCTCCTCTGCCTACCCCTCCTGCCTTAAAAAAAAAAAAAATGCTGCTCTTTTTACCTCTTAAAATTTTCCTAAGTCTCAAGTGATAGTGGGAGCTGTGATTTCTCCTCAGTCAGCAGCCGTGTCATTATTGACTAAGGCCAAATACCGCTTGAATTAGTAGTTCGTGCTTAGGACTCATGGGACACATGGATATCTTATACAAAGGTTAAGCTCCTTTCTGGGATTTTGAGATTTGTAGGGGTGTTTGTGCTGGCAGGCTAATTTCTAGCTTCTATATTTGAGAAGTCAATCGTTGAACTTTATTAAGTTTTCTTTACGTAGAGAGGAATTTACAGCACAGCTTAGTTACATTTATAGATTATCAGTAGTAAATTTTAAGGCTTGTTTTGACATCCTCATGCATGTTTATATAACCCTCAACAGCACTACAGAATTGTCTTTCAGAATCAGAGACCTGGCCTCATCTCCTTTTTTTTTTTTTTTTTTTTAATTTTTTTTTTTAACATTTATTCACTTTTGAGAGAGAGAGACAGAGGGTGAGCAGGGGAGGTTACAGAGAGAGAGAGACACAGAATCTGAAGCAGACTCCAGGCTCTGAGCTGTTAGCACAGAGCCCGACGTGGGGCTTGAACCCATGAACTGCAGATTCATGAACTGAGCCCAATCAGATGCTCAACCAACTGAGCCACCCAGGTGCCCCCTCATCTCCTTTCTTATCATACCCAATCCAGCCCAGCCAACTGGGAATTATTTTCTATTGAACATTACAATCCAACACTGGAAGAGAGTGCACTGAACTAAAAGTCGGGAGACCTACCTGGGTGGCCTGCCATTGACTGGGTGACTTTGAACAAGCCTTCCTTTCTGGGCTTTAGGTTCCTTGTCTGTAGAATGAGCAGGTTGAATTGGATGATCTCTGCACCATTTTTCAGCTCTGTGAAGATTCTGTTAAGTGTACTGTCGCTTAATATGTCTGTAATGTGTTCTCAGTTTTTAAAAAATTATTTCTTTCTCCCACTCAGGCAGATGTTTGGAGTATGGGCATACTCTTATATGTACTTATGTGTGGCTTTCTACCATTCGATGATGATAATGTCATGGCTTTGTACAAGAAGATTACGGTGAGTGTTATAAGGCATGCGTAGAATTTCACTGTAACAGTTCTGTTAACTATTTGCTTCTATTTATAAGGCAAAAACAGGCAGAAGTAATGTATGCTGTTAGAAGTCAAGATGGTGGTTACACTTTGGAGGAGGGGAGTGACTGGAAGAGGGGTATGGAGGGGGATTCTGTTCTTTCTTGATCTGGATGTTGGTTATGTGTGTGTATTCAATTTTTGAAAACTTGCCATGGTGGACCCTCAATACGTATACTGTTCTGTATGTATATTATACTTCTGTAGTAAAATGCTTAACAGAACAAAAACAAATGGGAACACAAACATGGAAGATGATTTTTCTGGTAACAGTTTTTACCTTGTATCCTGAAATGATACCTTAGTAAGTTACTGTGTTAAATCACATTTTTCTGTTGGGTTCTGATAAAATAAGAAACTGCTTCTTTTTGAAGGTAACATTTGGCTTTAAGGTTTAATAAAACCATAGTTAAGAGTGCTGTAGGCTTTGTTAAAATCATATGTATCAGAGACAGAAAGATTTGTGGTTGTGGGGCTTGGGGATGGAGTGGCAGTGGGGAGTAACCCTTAATGAACACAGGGTTTATTTTGGGGGTGATGAGAACATCCTGGAATTATATGGTGGTAATGATTGCACAACTTTATGAATATAAAAACTAAAAATCACTGAATTGTACACTTTTAAAGGGTGAATTTTATGTTTGTGACTTAAATTCAATTTAAAAACCCCTCAAAACCATATATACCAAGGAAACAGTAAAATTCATTTTAAAGATTTAACATTAAAGCAAGCTAACACAAGATATGTAAAGAGGAAGAAAGAACACCATTTTGTATCCCTGGCAAACCAGGATCAGACCAACAGGGCAACTTCTCTGTGTGTGACTTGAATTCAGTTCTGTTGAACAAATATTTCCTGAAGGTTTTCTTTGTATAAGATACTGGAAGGCATGAACAAGAATCTGTGAAACTTGATCATTGTCCACCAGGGCCTGATTTCTTGTTGGAGACAGATACAAGGCTATCTAAAAAGGCCAAAGGGTCAGGGATGCCGTATTATTACAGAGATATAAATGAATGTAATACAGGAATGGGTGAGGGGTTTGGGAGAACATGTTAGAGGAAGTGAGGTTTGAGCAAGGCTTTCATAAGGGGTAGAAGTGCTTCAGAAAGGGATGTGGGAGAGAGCATGTTTGGTAGAGTAGACAGTATGAGCAAAGACAGAGGATAGGAGAAGCATGGGGGAAGATGGTCGGATATTTTATGTGGCTGGACCACTGGGTCTCTAGCACCCTTTAGGTAGGGAGACTACCTAAATCAACTCGCATTTTGGGGACACGGTACACTGAATTCAAAGTGGTAATCCCAGTTGGCTCATTGCTTGCCCTATAGAACAAGTTTAAAGGCACTGAGTTCAATCTTCAATTTTTAAATTTACTTGACTTAATAGTTGTTTCCTATATCCCCTTCTCCCAGAAAAGCCTTTAAAATCTATGCCAAAATTAGAAATGGAATTGTAGTAGTTTCAACTCCTCGAAGGCTAGGAGTTCTAATTCTGGAGAGTCAAACGGAAGTTAGGTCGACATAGCTGTTACCACTGCTTTGGGGAACTGTGTGTATATGCTTCTTCTTGGGAAGAAGAGATGGATGAGGCAGGAGGCTGGAGGCCAGCTTCCTGGGGCTGGCTGGGGTAGCCAAGACAGCCTGTATTTCCTCCCATCCCCTCTCAAGAAGCCTCCCCTAAGCTTCGCAGGGTAGCAGTTGTTGCTTTGGCTGAACTCTCTCACTGTGGCCGCAGTTCTGACTACACAGAGCCACACCCTACTGTGTCAGCAGCAGGATACGGGAGAGAGTAGCGTTAGGATCGCTTCGTAGCCTCAGCTTGCTTTAACAGAAGTAGAGTGGGAAGGAGGCTGGTCTTTGGGCAGCTCAGCAACAATTTTCCAGTTACGCTTTTTTAGAAAGATATTAGGTTGGCCTCTTCAATTATTCACTCTTTTTGCTACTCTTTTCTGTAAAGCAGAGCTATGTTTCTCGCTCTGAAAATAATTTTAGTATTATAAGCTACTAGTATATTTTACTACACTCTTTTTTTGGGCATTCCATGTCAGAGAAATAAGCTGACAGACAAATTTCTCCAAAGATGAACTGGAATTGGATCTGTTAGGTGGTGTAGCATGAAATCTTACACCTTTTAGAATTCTAGAAAGTGTGGGGACACATAATCATAGAATTGCACTGTTGGAAAGGATCTTATAAATCATGTTTTCTCACCTCTGCTTTTTGTTTCATATTTAAATCTTGACTAAAACATCTGCCTTAGCTTTGTCCATGTAATTTCTCTCAGGGTGGGGGAAGCCTTAGATACTGGATGTAGAACGGTGGTTCACAACACTGGCTGCACATTAGCCTCACTTGGCTGCTTTAAAATATATTGGGTCCAGCCCTCAGAGCAATGAAATCAGAATCTCATTGGTATTACTAAAATCCAGGATCTCTGCTTTCTGTCTGTGGCCAGAATTTGGCAAGTTACTTTGCCTTTCTGAGCCTTAGTTTCTTCCCCTATAAAATGGGTAGAATGATAGTTTTTATGGTATAGGGTTGTTAGGGTTAAATGAGTTAAGCCATGCACAGTATTTAGAGTAGTGCTAAGTAAATGTTAGCTAGTATTACTAACATACCTGTCTAAATTTGGTTTGCCAGTATTTTGTCCAGGACTTAAAATTTGTTCAGAGATTAAGATGTACTTTTCTTTCTCAAACTGTTTTATTTGTTTGTTATTGTTTTCAATGTTTTATTAGCCACATAAAGTTAATTGAAGGGTTTTCTCCCTTTTACTGTTTTTTTTTTTTTTTTTTTTTTTTTTTTGGCGGGGGGAGAGTTTAAAATTAGTACTTTTAGTTCCTTTGGTATCTTATGGAATGTGCTTGTAAGTCCATCTCCACCAGGGTCTTCTTTATGGGAAGCTTTTGAAATAGCGTCTAAGTCTGATCAGAAACTTTCCAGTGGCTGCTTTTTCATCTCACTCCAAGTATAAGCCACAGGTTGCGCTGTAGGCTGTAGGCTTCATCCCTTGTGAACTGGCCTCCTATTAACCTCAGTGCCCTCATCACCTACTATTCCCCTCCTCACTTGCTCCGTGTACCTGTACTCCTTGTTTCTTTTCTTCCCTCAGTGGTTACTTGAATGTGCCAAGCATGCACCTGCCTCAGGGCATTTGCACTTGCTCTTTCTTTCACCTGAAATGGTTTTCTCCCATATGGTTGCTTTGTGCTCTCCTTTCCTTCAGGTCTCTATTTGAATGTTCTTTAATTAGAAAGGCAACCCTACACTGTATATTAACTAACTTGAATTTAAATAAATAAATTAAAAAAAATAGAAAGGCAACCATTCATGTGTGTTTGTTTGTACTTTTGTTAGTTTATTTCTTTTTTTATTCATTCATTCAGTATTCTTTCAACTTTTGAAACAATTAGATATTTATTGAAAACCTAATCTGTGCAGGCATTTTCTAGATACTTGGGATATATCACTAAGTAAAACAGATGGAAGATCCCTGCCTTCAAGGAGTTTATATTCTGGTGGTAGGGATATAGAAAAAAACAATAAACACACTAAATAAGTAAATTATATTAAAAGATGCTACTTGCTTTGGGAAAAAGAAAAAAAATTGAGCAGGGTAAAGAGTAATCAGAACAGATTGGGGAGGTATGGAGGAAAAGGGGGGCAAGTTGCATTATTAAATATTAAGTAAGGTGGTCAGAATAATCCTCACAGAGGTGAGATTTGAGCAAGACTTGAAGGAGGTGAGAGTGTTAGTCAGTGGATATCAAGGAGGAGAATGTTTCAGGCAGAGGAATTGGCAAAGACCACTAGCTAGAAGCACCTACTGTAGTCCAGGGAGGGCAAGAGGGCTGGTGTGATGGACTGAGAAATCAGGAGAGTCGTAGGAAATGAAGTCTCAAGAAATAGGATATCCAATTGTCATTGGGCTTCATAGCATGTCATAAGGACTTTGGCTTTTTCTCTAAGTGAAACAGGGAGCCATTGGAGGAATTTGAGCAGAAGGGTGATGTCTGGTTTAGGTTTTAATAGGATCATACTGGCTACTGTAGGAAGCAAAAGAGAACTAGGGAGACCAGTTAGGGTATTGTAGTAATATCCTACAGATAAGAGATGGTGGTGAGAATGGTTGGATTCTGGGTTTCTTTTATATTAAAAAAAATGTATTTAACTTAAAATGTAATTAAAAAAATTTTTTTAAAGTTTATTTACTTTGAGAGAGAGAGAGAGAATTCCAAATGGGCTCCATGCTCAGCACGGAGCCCAACACGGGACTCAATCCCACAACTGCAAGATCATGACCCTGGGCCAAAATTAAGCACTGAACCACCAAAAAATTATTTTCGCTTTTATTTTTTTTAATGTATTTATTTTTTTAAATTTATTTATTTTTTAGAGAGAGCATAAGCAGGGGAGGGGCAGAGAAAGATGGAGACACAGAATCTGAAGCAGGCTCCAGGCTCCGAGCTGTCAGCCCAGAGCCTGACGCAGGGCTCAAACCCATGAAACCGCGAGATCATGACCTGAGCCAGAGTCAGATGCCCAACCAACTAAGCCACCCAGGAGCCCCCCAAAATTATATTTATTTATTTATTTATGTATTTATGTATGTATGTATGTATTTTTAATGTTTATTTTTGAGAGAGTGAGAGCATGAGCAGGGGAGGGGCAGAGAGAGAGGGAGACACGGAATCCGAAGCAGGCTCCAGGCTCTGAGCTGTCAGCCCAGAGCCCGATGTGGGGCTCGAACCACAAACTATGAGATCGTGACCTGAGCCGAAGTCAGACGCTCAACCAACTGAGCCACCCAGGTGCCCCCAAAATTATTTTTAAATTAACAGAGTCAAATTTACTTTTTGTGTATGTGTACAGGTCTACAAATTTTAACATGTATCTAGATTCGTTTAACCACCACCACAGTCA